TGTCCCCGAGCAGTTGCCATCTGGGGCCTTGCAGATACCCCCACATGGCTGTGACAACCTGGCGCTGGGTGGACACTCTGTGCTAATTCATTGCCATTCCTCTCGTGTCTAGAGGCAGTGACTATGCCACTCAAGCTCACAGTGTGCCATCCTACAGCAGGGACACTCCTTGGGGTCCTAGGAGCCAAGGTCCGCCTGACCTCTGTTTTTCTTTCTGCAGCACAGGACTGAATCTTGGGGCTTGTGCATGCTTGACTAGTGCTACCCAACTGAACTGCACCCCTGCCCTTTTTACTTTGGGGTATCTGGCAGACATGAAGGACGTGGTAAGTAGACTCCTGTTCCCATTCCTGATGTGAGGCCAAGAGCCAAGTAGAGGACAATCCTTCTGTGGCCCTGCCAGACACCCCAGCTTCCCTAACTCCAATACTCACGGAGCGGGAGGAGGTGGAGATGATGCGGCCACCTCTGGTGTAGCAGGAAACTGTGACCAAGAACATGCCCAGGTCCTGGTTCACAGGGGACTCGGGTAGCTCAAGCTCCAGGATGATGCGGTAGGGCTGTCCATACATCAGCACCTGCCCCAGAGCCAGTTTGGAATTAGGCTACCTGTTCCCAAATCTTTGCTGCCCCCTTTTGGTGGCCAGGTCCCCTGAGGTCCTCTGCCTCCTTAGAATCCTACTCATTGCATTCCGCTCCCAGGGCAGTAGGTTGCCAAGTGAGCCATCCTTGACTCAGGCCTATGTGATGGTCAGGCTGTCCCTTGGGCCTGGCTGCTCTCTCTGTACTGTTAACCAAGTACCCACAGTGCTCCCAGGCAAGCTCATGCACCTTATCTTCCTGTCATTCAACACCTGCCTACCCTGGCTCATAGAATCCTCCTGCCTCAGCCCCTCTAGTAGCTAAGGCTACAGGCACACACAACCACTCCAAGCTTGGTTCTGTTGGTGGAATCCTGAGATTCATACTCAGAGGACTTCTTCATTGGACAGCTTCAAAAGGTTAGGGTTTCACCTAGTATCCCTAGTATCCTAGGCCATTCTTACATCCTTCTGGCCAGCCTCTCCATCTCTCTGTCCACTGGTCTGTCTTTCAGTACTGAGGAGGACACCCAGGGCCCAGTATGTGCTAGGTACATGCTCTACCACCGAGTCCCACCCTGGCCCTTCCCTTCACTGAATGATTCCTACCTGGCCTCAGCCCCTCAGGGTGGCGTCCAGAAGCCACAGCACCGATACAGGCCTGCTTGCCTGTCTTTTGCAGAAGCCCTTTTATGTCATGCACGCTCTCCACTACTAAGTAACCACCAGTCTGCAGCCTCAGCTCTAAGCTTCCCTGTCTAAGCCAAGAGGGAATGAATAGCTTCCCAGGTCTGAAGTCAGGCTGCCATGGACCCGTCCTCTGGTGCAGCCCCCTTTGTGGTCCCTTTGCTCCAGAGCCCTCCTCCTCTCTGGTTTTGAGCCCTGCCCTCCACATCTCCCTCTAGTTTCTTCCTCACCAGTCCTGGAAGCACAGAGGAAATTTCTGTCCAATCCCGGTACTCACCCGATCGCGGCCACTCTTAGCCAGGGAGACATTGGCGACAGGGAAGGAGCACAGGGAGGTGACGGAGGGGTCACAGTCGGTCCTACCAGGAGAAGGGGACGACACTGCTGTGGCAGAGTCAATCTCACCTGTGTGTCCACGTGCCTCCCGGTCCTATACCCCAGCCTATTTCTATTATATTTTGCTACTGGAGATTAAAACCAGGGTTTTCCCACTCAACTGCATCCTCAGCATCCCCGCTTTTTTTCCCTTTGCGTGAGGGTCTTGCTAAATCACTAACTTGCTCTGACTGAGCTCCAATTTTCAATCCTCTTGCTTCAGTCTCCCAGAGTGCTGGGATTACAGGTGTGCGCCACCACACCTTGCTAAGTCCCTCTCTCCCTCTCTTTTTTTCTGTACTGGGATTGAACTCAAGGAGTGCTAGGTATATTTCCCTGTCCCTTTTTTAGTTGGAGACAGTGTCACACTAAATTGTCCAGGCTGGACTCCATCTTGAGACCCTCCTGCCTCATATTTCTGAGTAGCTGGGATTAAGGCAGACACCACCACATTTGGCCCTATTGACTCTCTCGAGTTTTATAAGCATTGAGTACTCTGGGAGGTTGAGATAGGAGGATCACAATTTCTAGCTCAGTGTGGGGAACTTAGCAAGACTCTGTCTCAAAAACAAAAAGATTAAAAACAGTCTGTGAATGTAACTCAGTGCAAAGGCCCTCAGTTCAATTCCTAGTATGGCAATAAATAAACAGATTTCATCCAGGTGTGGTGGCATGTGCCGGTCAGCCTGCTACTTGGAAGGCTGAGGCACAGTGACTGGGATTCAGGGTTAGCCTAAGAGTGAGAGACTGTGTCAAAGAAAAAAAAAATTAATTGAACAATAAAATTCTAAAAGTAGATTCTAAGGTCCTACCCCCAGAGATTTTGATTTAGTAGTTCTAGTCTAGGGATTTTTGAGAAAACTCCAAAAAAAGCTACAGCTATCCTCTAAGAGGCTCAGGAAAGCCCCAGTTGTAGGCAAGACTGCATGTGGTATGTGGGAATGCATATGCATTCTTTTTTTGGGGGGGGCACTGGTGATCGAACTCAGGACCTTGCACCTGTGAGGCAGGTGCAGGCGCCACTGAGCCAAATCCCCAGCCTTGCATATGCATTTTTTTTTTTGCTTTTGTTTTGTTTTTGAGACAGGGTCTCACTACATAGTTGAGACTGACCTGGAACTCACTATGTAGCCCAGGCTGGTCTTGAACTCTCAGTGATCCTCCTGCCTCAGCCTCCCGAGTGCTGGGATTACAGGCGTGCACCACCAGGCCTGGTTGCGTATACATTTTTATTTGAAGAAAGATCATAACTTTCATTAGATTAAATATTAGTTGCCCTAATATTTAAGTTTTACTTTGGAAATTACAGCATAAGATTAGGAATTGGACAGAGGGGATTCTGGTCCACTAGTTAGTAATGCCCTTAACATCTGTTGAACAGTTAGTTGATAGCCGAAGTTAGCAAAAAGAGAAAGAATCTGGCTGAGTGTGTGAAATGGGGAGAAACAAAGGGGCCAGGCCAGCAGCAGAAGTCGGGGAGGCCAAGTCAGTTCTGTGTGGTCACCTCGTGCTTCCTAACCTTGGCAGAATACTGGGACAGGAGGCAGTCAGGGAAAAGGTGAAGGCAGTTCTTCCATCACCTCCCTGATGAAAGCCAAGTGAATTCTGCACCACCTGAGAGACTGGGCTGGCTCAGCCTTCCACACTGACCCTGAGAGCTCCGACCCAGGCTAAATAGAATGGACCCTCTTAAAGATCCACCGGAAGTGCAAATGTTTTTCGTATTTTATAACATGAATTCAGCAATCGGAAACACTAGGCCCTGAGAACCCTCCCACCTCCGTCAGGCTCTCCTCTGTGGGCCAGCAGGGATCCAGCAGGGACCAAGCAGGGAAGCCCTCCTCACCTGTAATAGAAGTGCACCGGGCTGAGGTGACTGGCGGTCGGCATGTAAGAGTAGTAGAAGGAACCATAGAGGAACACGGACACCCAGAGCAGCAGCAGCACGCTGCAGAAGAGCACTCCGAACTG